ATGATGGCTGTGATGTTAAACGTCCATTTCAGGTCTTGGGAAAGTATAGAACCCAGGAACTTGAAGGACTCTACCACTGATACCGGGCTGTCGAGTATGATAAGGGGAGGAGTATTAGAAGGATTTTCCTATAGTCCACAATCATCTCCAACCACACCACAAGACCAGTGGTGATGCCTTGAGAGACTGCGGGGTAACTGTGGTTTCTTTGTATAGTAAATACATTTCAACTATTGCTAGGAACTCTGTTAATCATGTGGAAGACTACACAATTATTCTAGATTTGAAAGGAAAAACTTTGCAGAGTAGAATTGTGCAAAACATTTTGAGTGCTAACCTTTTCAGTCTCAAAACAGTTTGGATTTGAATATCCACCTTTAATGTCCAGCATTTTGTGATATAATGGGTAATTCTATCTCTTCTTTGTCAAGAGTCAAAAGGTGAAATTTGTCTTCTTTCTTGGGAAGGCGAGTCCAACAAGAACTCTTCAATGTAACAATGATCATATGATGCTGTCTTTCCATTGCTGGATGAATGCTAGGTCTTAAGGCTGGGATGGACAGCTGCTAGTAGCAGATTTATACCAAAGAAACAAAGTGAGTTGATCAATCTTGTTTTTAATAACAATAATTTGTTTTATGTGTAGGATTACTGTTCAAAAACCTGAACCAATAGAGAAAGATGCAGAAACATAGCTATGTTACTGACTTTCCCTGCACTTACTTAGACTTGCCTCCACAATTTTCTTCTCAGTTACTTGTTTGTTCTCCTTTTTATCTCCTTTCCTTAAGTCTAGTTTTAATACATCTAAATGTAAGAGAAAAACATGCAAGATCTTCTAGGGAAAAATGTAGAGCTACAAGTTTACCTCTTCAGTTAGTGCGAGTAGAACACAAAAAGAGAAGTGAACATCTACTCCCAGGACAAAAAGGAACTACTAAATAGATGGAAATCCAGCTCAAAAAGCCCCCTTCCCACATCATTAGAACCTTGCAAACAACTAAAAATAACCATATTAATAGTTTTGACACAGCTAATCACATGCTTTTAAATTAAAAACTATGTTTAAATTCAGTAAGGTGTCCAGACCTAATTTCAATGTATCTTAAAGTAAAAATCCTTTATGAAACAAATGCACATAGATCTAGCTAAACAATGCACAAAAAATAAGTGATTCTGCTGCTTCAAGGCCATTGAAATGAATGAGATGTTCATCACCACAGTGCTTCATGAATTGCATCCAAAGCATGTAATACTATAAACCTCGTGCCCTGTATTTACAATTAAACTTAAATAGCAATAAAATATCATGCTAAAAAAAGTGGCAAAAAACCATTTATAGTTTTTCTGCAAACATCAGTGCAGTCCATCTTTCAGAATTATGAGGACATCTTGAGGTGGTAAATGTCATAACAATTCCCCAAAATGAAAATAACGTTTATTTCTAAAAATAAAAAACCATCATGAGCAATTTCAGCAACATTCAGCTAAGTGATGATCTGTACAATTTACAGAAAACTTACTGTTATGATTTCAAAAATCGCTGGACTATGAAAATTTGAATCCGCCTTTTTTCTCATAAAGTTGCCTCTAAAATGTTTTGCAGGCTAGAAACAGAGTACTGTCTACTCATAAATGAGGGACGGAGCAGCTACCTGCTTCTTCGCTAATTTGCTCAGCTAGCATACTGGCCACAGAGGAGGTCCAGCCCATTATTCCATGGTCATTAGGAAAGCCAATAGGGTGGGTGAAAGAGAAAACAAGCATTCCACCCATCTTTCACCAGCGTGTTCATTCAGTTGGAATTCATTCCACGTATTCATTAATGGGGAATTCCTGATTGTCAATAACTATCAACACATTGCCAATATATATAACTGGCCGAAACCAAGAATGAGAGGATTAAAAACGACCCAACAAATACCAAATTGATATGCCATGTTCAGAATTAGATGTAACATTTTCACTTTCTTGTAGTGAAGTTTTCCCATCAAGTCTTGCATGTTTCATATCACTCAAGAAAAAGCATACTTAACAATAATATTACACTTACATAGCTAGCACGGTATTTGACCTAAAACTTGTAAAATATCTTAATTTCTATTGCAGTAACTGGCAACAATGAAACTGATCTATTAAAGCCATGGACCATTAAAAAAGGAAAAAATGTTTAAAATTAAAAATGATATAATCTGAACAAAATATTCAAGAATTACTTTATTATGATACAAATAAATATGTATATGTGCATAAAATATGCAAAATATAATATACATACTATACAAATCAAGGAATTTTTACAATCATAATTAATGTAGATAGAATTACACATCTTGAAAAGTAATTTGCCAGGTATAAATGCACTTATTTCATTATTGTAATCTAATTTTCCTTCCAGAATAAGGCTATTTTGGATTAATTGGGAAGTAAGAAACAAGAATTGTGGGATGGAGAATAATTAAGTATAATATGTATTAAAAATGGGAATATGAAAAAATCTTCAGATTTGTTATCAAAAGTTGCTTGATCATCTCTGATCACTGGATATTGTTCACAAGACCTCAATTAACAACACGAGTTCCTGATTTGGAGACATAATCCAAGATGATTCTAACATTTTCATACATTAAGACACAAAAATGAGACATGCTTGATTCAGCAGTGACTGAAGTTTCATGAATTACTGAGCCAGCTCCTTTGTGGAAAAAAAATAAAGGTTTCCTCAAGTCAAGCTTGACTCCTGGTGACAGTTTTCATGGCAACAGTATAGAAATGGCTTGTTTTTGCCTTCTTCCCTGTCAGCTCTAGCTTTTTGGATAATCAAGTACTATTAAATTAAGGCAATGACCTAGGGAGTATTTACACCTTTGGAAAGAGCTCTTATCACTTTCAGTTTACATTTTCTTTACTCTAGGTATTAAAAAGATACTCTGTTTCTATTTCTTGCAAGGGAATGTTTTTGTATGAATGGGTGCTCACATGGAAGATCATTCACATGCAGGTTGTGTGGAGGAGTGACACCATTATTTCCCATTCCTTTTTAAGGCCAACCTTTGTGGAATGTATAGACCTGAACTGGAATAATGTAGGAAGAATCCTTCATTCAACAATCAAATCATACAAAGCAATATGCCAAAAATAAATAAATAAATAAATAAATAAATAAATAAATAAAACAAAAGCAAACAGACTTACAGTAATTGAAAGCCTTTCGTTCTTGTGGTCAAATTCTAGTTTTCCAGAATACGACAGTTGACTTAACAAAGAATCGAAGTAATATTTGCATCGCAGAGTAAGATATCTTCAAAATGAAAATATTTAAAAAATAAAGATATAAAAGGAACTGGAAATTTATTCAAAATGTATACATAAGCATAGGCGAAAGGGACATTTCCAACATGATTTGAAATAATTGTTCTGTTCATATATTAAATAAAGATGAAAAATCAATTGTTATACAGGTAGTCTTCATTTAGCAACCACAGTTAGGACTGTCAGCTTTGTCATTAAGTGAAGCAGTTGCTAAGTGGGAAATCACATGATCCTGAATGTGAATTCCTTTTCCTCACTCTGCCACCCTTTGGAATGCTCATCCCAGTACTGGGATAATTAGCAAGAAGGAAATTAATGTTTGTATTTACATTCATTAGAGAAGAAGGGATTACAAGAGAGTAAGCAGGCACACAATGGAGAATACACAACAAAAGGAATGCAGTGGCACCAACAGCCCAGAGCACACTTTGTGGCCCTGCTTACTCCTAGTAATCCCTTCCTCTCCAATCTCTTTGCTCCGCAAGGGGAGAGAAAAGAAAAACAACGGGTCAGCACAGGACAACGCGTACTGACTGTAATGGCAATCATGAGACTAAGGGACGCTGCAAAGATCATAAATGCGGGCATAAGTCATAAAATTATTTTTTCAGCACTATCGTAACTTTGAATTAGGCAGTTGGTAGGCGAGGTCTACCTGTATTTTTTTTCCAAAGCAGCAAATTAACAAGCCGACATATAAACAAGCAATTGGACAAAACCTACCAAAAAATCCCAGGACTGCAGACTATACTGAGAATTTAAAAGAACACATCATAATATGAGATCACATAACATAAGCAGTGCCCTGCTGTATCAGATCCTTGGCCTATCTAGTCCAGTGGTCTGTTCTCACAATGGCCAAACGACTGCATAAGGAAGCCTATCAGTCTCCCAGCAGATGGCCTTCAGAGGTAGTCACACTGCCATCAAGGCTAATAGCCACTGATGCCCATGACTTTCATGAATGATCCCCATGACTTTCTGAAGATGTCAATAGCAAACGCCTTCTATGATGTTGCTAGGAAAGCAGGAAAACATAATAGAAACATTCATGTCACTAGAAGACACACTTGACTCAAGGGAGACATAACCTTTTTGCCTGGACATTCAGCCTCTTCATAGTCCAAGTACTCAGATCAGAAACTCTTGCACCATAGTTTCTGTTTCATGTGGCATTCAGAATCCAAGGAGTCAAGTCTCTGAAGCAGTGAGTTACGTTCTAAACTACAGATGAAGGCAGAAGAAGCAACACAGTCCCCTCCACAGGTAACGTGAAAACAGAGGAGGGAGATAGTGTACTCATCCCTGAAGGGGGATTATCTAAATTAAGCAACCACCAGTTCCCAAGCAGATAAGGGGAGGGCAAGCTGAGAGCAGGAGGTGGAACTGACAGGTCCAACAAGCTCAAAGATGGTGTTCCATAACGGGGGTGGGTGAGGTGTCAGTCTGGATGATGGTGGGTGGTCCTATGTCTTATGCCTAGACTCTGCGGCTTATGGAATGAGATTGCCTAGCAACTTTGGGGGAGGGAAGCTCTACTGCTACCCCTTTATCCTTCTTAGTGCATTACCTGACATGCCCTGCCAAAGACAAAGTAGACAGAAGCCCCATCCTAGAAACAATTAAATAACCAGTTCTCATGAACCAGACTGAACATACCTGCTGCTCAGTCTCCTGCACGTGGTTATAATTACTGAAAAAAGCTAATATTTCGACCAAAAACTCTACTTGAAAAGTTTTATATATTTTTATGGCACTGACAAATAAAAATTAAATAACAGGACTATTTTTGAAGAGAAATGTACTTGCAGCAAACAGTGCCCTTTTGCTTACTGACTTCAATCTCTTAACATGTATGCACAGTGGTTTAATTATGCAAAAATATAACTGTTGTTTTGTATCATCACATTGGTTCTTGTTAACATGAAACAGGTAAGTCACAAATATCTAAATAACTTCAAACTGCCATTGCCTTTTATTAGATCCTTGTTTAAGTCACTAGATATCTTTAAAAATATTACACACAAACATAATACCTACCTTCTAAAATGCAGATATGTTTTATGTCTCTTAACCATCACTTCATCCAATAGTTTTATGAATTTCTTCAAATTTTTGCTTTTGCTTTCTGCACTCTGATATTTTTCTTTTGCTTCCTGAAGCTGCCTGCATATAAATTAAAAAAAGGAAAAAAGAAAAAAAGAAAAATAAATATTATTTAGCTTGGAACCAATATCAAGTTAATCTAGGGAAATTCTAGGATAGAAAGATGCCTATAACCTGATACAGCCGCCTATGTTCTAAGGAAGTTTCTCTGGATGCCTAGAAGACTATTTTGAACAATTTCACAGGAATAGCTGGGAAAAGGAAGGATTGCCCCAAACTGAACAATAGAATTTGGGGACCCCCCAATGATAGTGATTTTCAACAATGAAAAACAAGTATTCTTTCACAGAACACAACAACACAGTTATAGACAGGCCCTACCTTGCATGATTTTAAAAAGAGGTTAAACAATTGAGGATAAGTGTGTAACAATCATTCAATTAAACGGGGTCTCATATTCTAATACAAATGCAATTATTTGTCCCCAAACAATAGGAAAGAGTTGCTAATAGGTTGACTTGTTTGTCCCCAAAATACAAGGCTATCCACTATTTGGGATGGAGTCAAGACTAATCTAGGGAGGCTCCTCTATATTCAGTTGCAGAGGGAATCATTTATATCTATATAGCATCTTTCAGCTGAAACTCTTCAGTTGAAAATAGTTTACAACATATTTCAAAACAATAAATTAAGATGCATTAGAACCAAGAAAAACAGAGATGTTACCTAGCACAAAGTTAGTAGGCAAAAAAGGCAAGGGAATTTCATGAAAGGAAGTTTAACCACTCAAATGTCATTAATCTGGGCCAGGATTTTACTATGACACATTAATATGCCTCCTTCTTTTACATAATTCTACAATTTCAAATATTTACTTAAAATATTTGAATGCTTCCCTATAATTAGGTTCTATGAGTAGCATAATACACTAACATTAAAAAGTAAAAAATGAAACATAAATACATAAAATCAGAAACAATACAGAGTATTAAAACAAAACAAATTTCACTTGACCCTAAATTTACATATATAGATTTTTAAATTGACGGATGGTAATTGGATAGGAGGTACACATGGAAGAATCTTTTAGGCAATCCCATTTTAGGCTTTAAAATCCTTTAAACTAATAAAGTAAAAAAACCTTGATTTAATGGACTAATTGGTAAGGGGGGGGTGGGGAGAAAGGATTGAACCAGTGGACAAAATCTGAATTCAGACAGCTTTGCTGATGTCTGCTGATTGGCAAAGCAGTCCAGATGGTGTTCGCCTATTTTACATCCATTATATAATGTAAAATTTACTTAAATAAAATGTATGCAAATTAAATAAATCTGGATTAATTAGTCATTCAACTTTAACAGAACCCTTTTCTCCCCAACTGTTTAGTAACATCTCAATTTTACTACATTTAAATTATTTTAAAGGCAATCCCACATGCAGTGCATTGTCAAATGGTCCAAAAGGAAATTACCAGAGCAGAATTAATTGTTATTTTGGGATTTCCATCCAGATATACTTGCCTCTGGCAGGCATCAATTATAGCAGGCATGAAGGAACATATACAAGTATTCAGAAATTAAAGAAATATATGTAGTTTCCAATTTTTTAATTTATCTGGACCACTGACCATTATGTTTTTTTGAGGCCTACTACTTAAATCAGAGGGCAATACTGCAGAATCTGCAGGCACCACACAATTTATCCCATTGACTTGGGCAGGATCCAAAACTTAAATAGAATTTTTTAAAAAATCAAATGCCCCATATCATGGGAGATTGCTAAAATCTTATAAGATCTGGCATTCTTGTGAAAATCATGTGAGATTTAATAAATGCCAACATATGAATTTTGGCAATTTGCCCAAAACGTGTGCACACACAAAAATAATTTTCTCACATTCCATTAGCAGCCAGCAGACCACAGGCTGGGAATCAATGATATAGGGTACAGGTGTCTCCTACACATTCACTCACCCACACATATAAAATTCACTTACACACATACACACACACACACTGCATTTACCTTATTATTTCTTCTCTATCTCCAGTACGTTCTCTTTCTGAATTTATTTTTTCTCTCAAGTGATTCATTTCTGTATCAAGACTTTTAAAAGTCCTATTTACTTCTATTCGCTCTGGATGGATCTTTGAAGCCTTTGCAATCACTTCCTAATAAGTATGTTAAAATATGGCAAAAGATAATTTTCACTAAGTTTTTGGATGAAAACAATGTAGTAATATAGAAAAAATTAATAAAGTGAAGTGAAACTAAAATAAAGTGAAACTAAGTATAGTAAAGGGAAGAGGAGGAATATTTTAAAGCAAAAAGCACAGACAAGGTTTTAAAAACATTTAAAAAATTAAGAGCAAGTATAGGTGTGAAGGAAGAAATACATAAAAGCTGAATACAATAAAATCTGAACAGGAACATGCTGCATATTTCTGGCCAATAAAGGAAGTTAAAGCACTGCTGGATGCCTCCTCACGTCAAACTGAGAAAGGCCTATTTCAAGTTATTTATACTGTTCTAGGGTTTTAAATTATACTGCTCTAATTTATTATTTAACATTTAATGTAACATATTTACATATTACTTAACATATTTAAAATTTAAACAATCCTTTAGAGTACACACATACACAAACACAAACACACACAATTGTTTGGATTTGTCCCAACTCCTTAAAGCAGGAGTCTCTTTTCCCAGGACTATGCAAATACCCTTTCCAAATGCAGCTCAAACTACGGAAAAGACCCACTTGGTTTAAGCAGTTAATAGCCATCTTTATGCCCAGATCTAGGAAAGGCCCTGCATACTTGATATTAGAAAATATTGGGAAGAGGAAGTGAGTCCTAGAAGCACAGGTATTAAAAAAAAACCAGGGACCATTAGGCCATGTTAATTAAAATCAACTCCACAAAAATACGTAAGATACATATTAAAATAAGCAATAGGGAATGTTATCACCATTTCCATCATTTAGTAGTTAGCTCTATTGCAAAGAATTTTTTTCAGTCATACTAAAGAAAATAAATACCTCTAATTCTCTCTTTTTTGTAGCTAGATCATGCCTAAGTGTTTTTATGGATTCCAAATGGAGTTTTTCTTTTTCTTCATAATGCTTCAGTTTGCTTTTACTTCTCTCCAGATCATCAACTGCCTGATGTAATTCATCCTATTAGCAGCAAATCATTACAAAACATAAATTATGTTAATATTAATGTGCCAGTAACCTAAATTTAATAAAGTCATAATTGAATTTAGCTGTTTAACACAGAAAGTCCAATAAAATTGGGCATAATTTCTGTATTAGAAAATGAAACTAGTAATCAATACTATTATGAAATAACAATTTGTACTTTTTGATATCAGGTGAAACAAGCACAGACAAATTCTGTTAAATCCAGAGTTGACTACTGCACTTTCTTCCATTGAAAGAAGAAACTGAAATCTTGTGCAAGCTCCAAGGGAAAAGAACTCTGGAGATTCAGTGGGTGCACAGGTCAAAATAAAAGTGTTTCTTTCCCTTGCCTGCATTTTTTTAAAAATATGTGATATGAAATATGTAGCATTAGTTTAAAGAATGATCATTTTGAGGAAGAATTATAGATTGTGTTGGCACTCCTATCCAAAATCTGCTCACTCAAGGTTTTTATTGACTAACTAGAGATTTTTCATGTAGTTCTGTACTTTATACAACTACAGTGGAACCTCGGTTTACGAACTTAATTTGTTCCGTGACTCTGGCCACAACCCGAATTGGTTGCAACCCGAAGGAAATTTCCCCATCAGGTTCAATGTAATTACTGTTAATCCGTTCT